CCTTAATGTAGACAGCTGTGGAGACCTGGGTGCTCAGAGAAGAAACTAGGGAAGAAGGTGCTACATGGAGGGAGTGCCAGCTGTGAGCACATAGTGGGGTGTTAACTTCCAAGTGACAGTGAGCACTAGTACAGGCAGAGTGTCCTTTATCTGAACTGCTCGGAAGCAGAAGTGTTTCTGAGCTTAGATTTTAACTTATTATTATTATTATTACTATTACTATTATTATTTTTTTGATTTTTTGATAGAGGGTTTCTCTGTGGCTTTGGAGGCTGTCCTAAAACTCACTCTGTACACCAGGCTGGCCTCCAGCTCACAGAGATCTGCCTGCCTTTGCCTCCTGAGTGCTGGGATTAAAGGTGTGCACCACCAACGCCTGACCTGAGTTTAGATTTTTGTCACACTTTTCAATATTTGTATTTACTGGTGGACATCTGTAATCCTGAAAAATGAAATGCTCCAAAATCCAGTACTCCGAGTACCACAGTAATGCTCAAAAAGCTTCAGTTTTGGAGTGCTGAGATTTTGAATTTACTCTGAAGATGATCAAACCAGATTTAAACCCTTGTGACAAGAAAGGTTTTAAAGTCAGTGGGATGGCTCAGGTTGTAACGTGGGTGGTAATAGAAAGTAATGAGTGTTTATTTGATATGTAAACTCTTTCTTACTTGGAATTAGATAGTAATTTGACAAGAGGATGGAGGAAGGGGGGATATGAATTATCTTGGAGGGAGGTAGACAGAGCATCCATATTAAATATGGGCTTCATTTATCCACTGGGTCCATTATTGACTTGTTTTTGAAGTTTAAAAGTGAAGTAGATAGTATATAGTATATAATTACACAAGATCTGCCCTGACAGTCTCTGTATATGTGATGTAGTTGAGGACTAGCTCATTGACTTGTTTTTGTCCCATGGGTTTAGGGATAGATCTGGGTCTAAACCACCTGTTGATCTCTTGGAACTTTATTGCACTTAGTTAGAACTTGATGACTTGAATCACTGACCAGGACTCTGACCTAATTTTTGTTTAAAATCTTAATAACAATGACCAAATCAATATTCATTAAATACCTCTTTAGAAATTCTCAATGAATTATATCCATCTCCATAGGTCGATTACATCCAAGAACTGTTTAGGGCTAGAGAGGAGGCTCGGTGGTATAGTGCTTGCATAGTATATGGAAGTACTTGGGTTCCTTGCTAGCACCAAAAACCTACATACATATGTAAGCATACATACATATGTACATATATACATACAGACACTCAGATATATGTGTATGTATATACACAGGTATATGTATTCATACATATTTGCATATATATACACACACCCATGTATACATATGTATACATACTTTAATTTTGTAACTGACAGTTTTATAGTATGTTCTAATATAGGAAAGTAAAACCTTCAGAAGTGATTGTACTTGTCCCCCACTTCCTCTTTTGTTTTTATCCTTTGCCCAGATGTATGGTATCAGTTAGGATAGGGGAATGATCTGGTAATGGTACATTCCTATTAAAGCAAAACAAAAAGTTTACTTTTGCTAAAATAAGTTCAATATTGGATAAGCTGCTACCTTGACAATAGGAACTGGATTTTCTACCACTTATCATTAAGAGCTAGCCATTTTTCTATTAATAGTCTTAAACTTTTTGTTAGCATTGTACTTGTACATTAAAAATGTCCATTGGGGGCAGGAGAGATGGCTGAGAGGTTAAGAGCACTGACTGCTCTTCCAGAGGACCTGAGTTCAATTCCCAGCAACCACATGGTGGCTCACAACCATCTGTAATGAGATGTGGTTCCCTCTTCTGGTGTGCATGCATGCAGATAACTGTATTGTAATAAGTAAATAAAATCTTTTTTTAAAAAAAGGATTAGATTAAAAAAAATGTCCATCAGTGAACCTTTGGGGGTGTAATGGGCAAAATAATGGCTCCTTAGAGATAGCTACATACTAAGCCTAGACTTCTGTGCATGTGTGACCTTACAGGACAAAAGGAACTTTGCAGCCTTGATTAAATTAATGATCTTAACATTCAAGTTTGCCTTCTGGAAGCAGAAGGATTACTGTAAGTTTCAGGTCAGGCTGGACCACATAGTGAATTCAAGGCCATCCTGAGGTACAGAGTGAGACCCCGTATAGAAAACAAAGCAACAGATCAGTGAGCTTGAGGTGGGGGCCCGGCCAGTGTAATTGGAAGTTGTTCTTACAAAGGGGAGTCTGGAATGTCCTAGTCAGAGAAGGAAATGGGACCACAGAGGTGGAGTGCTGTGGGATGAGAATGCAGGAAGCTTCTAGAAGCTGGAAAAAGGAAGGAAATGGATTCTTCCCAGAGCTTCCATGAAGGTCACAGCTAAGCTGATCTTAATGTTAGCCCCTTAGGACTAATGTTGGACTTCTGAACTCCAGAAGTGTAAGACAATAAATGTATGTTGTTTTAAATCAATAACTTGTGGCCATTCAATAGCCACAAGAACAGCACTGGAAACTAAGAAGCAAGTGTATTTTTACAGGTTTGAGAAATAAAATGTGTTAGCACCACTTCGTGGTTTCTAACCTAGTTAGTTTTGTTAAACTAGACCATTGTATACATAGGGCTAGGTGTGCACCAGAGCCATGGTGCTCTACAGAGTTAAGTATAAGAGCTGGAGCCAGGATAAAATATTCTGACCCCTAATTTAATTTTTGGTTTTGTTTGCAGTGCTAAACATCAGATTCGGCTTCAGATGTGCTGGGCAAGCCTCTGTTGTCCAGCTGCGTTCCCAGACTTTCCCCTCCTGTTCTGAATTGTCTTTACAGTTGTTGGCTTATTTGATTTGTTTCTGTGTTTTTGTTTCTTAGAAGATGATAGGAAAACCTATTAGGAAATAAGTTTTTAAATATTATCATTTTAGAGCTTAAATGCCTACTAAGTTATATATACTGTTGAGATTTAGTGTATACTTTTCCTTTCTCCTTCTAAAATCCCAAGTTGTTCAGTCCAAAATGTAAACCTTTGGTTCTATGACATGCTTACCCCTTTTCTTAAGTTTTTAATATTGGGTCTGGCAGTTCCTAGGAGTAGCAATCTTAATGCAAAATAGTGCAAAACAATCTTAATGCAAAATAATGAATATAGATAGATCTTATATGCTTTCCTTTCAGCTTTCTGTAAGCATGAACACTCATCTCAAATTGTTTTAATTACCTCTATAAATATAAACAAACCATAAATAATGTCCAGAATAACATGTTTTTGACAAGGAGGTTCTTGGTGTGAAGCACATAATGGCTGTGAGATAGGAGACTTGGGTTCTGAGCTCAGGTAAAGGACTTTGTAATCTTGGGCAGCCCACTGTGTCTTCATGAGTTTTCACATTTTCACCTCTGAAATGATGGCTTGAAACTTCTGACATAAGATGGTAAATCAAAGAACCAAACAAAGAGATTGACAATAATCAGTGAACATTTTTTTTTCCCCCCCAGACTGGGTTTCTCTGTTTAATAGTCCTGGCTGTCCTGGAACTCCCTCTGTAGACCAGGCTGGCCTCCAACTCACTGAGATCCATCTGCTTCTGCCTCCCAAGTGCTGAGATTAAAGGTGTGTGCCACCACCACTCAGCCAAAAAGTTTTAAATAAATATCTGCAATGTTAAAATAAGTTGGGGGTCTTGATCCAGATAACACAGCAGAGGATGTGAGAGTAAGTAGAGGGTTGATTGTAACTAGAAAGGGAGACTTTCTCCCATGGAACTCCAGGGGAACTGTAAATACCAAGACCAATTTGGGGAGGAGACTAAAGCCAGGAAACACATCTATGAAACAGATTCTAGTTTGCCGACAGCATTCTCATACTGTCCTTCTCCATGCCCAGCCATTGCCCTTAGAAAGCTAGGAAGTTCCTAAAGAGTCAGTGCCACATCATTCAAGCCTAGTATAGGAAGCCCAGTGTTTGGGGCTGACTGTTTCTTGGGATCATTTGAATTCTGAAAGGGACTGCTGGAACAGTCCATGTGGCTGGGGGATAGGAGAATAGAAATTAGACCCTGAGGCTTTCTACCAGGCCCAGAAAACTCCCTCTGCTCTGCTTTAAAGCCATTGAAAGGCTGTACCCTAGAAATAAAGGGTCAGGGCAGCAGGGGATCCTGGCATCGTTAGTCCAAGTTTTAAATAGCTGTGGTGATGTGTTCAAGATGATAAACAAGATGAAAACTTAAGTGGAAGAACAAGAACTTCTAAAAAGAGAACTAAGTGGAAATAGAAGTGAAAGTGAAAGCTATAGTAATTGAATTACAAACTTAAAGAAAGTATTTATTTATTTTTATTTATTTATTTTTTTTAGATTTTATTATGTATACAACATTCTGCTTCCATGTATATCTGCACGGCAGAAGAGGGCACCAGATCTCATAACGGATGGTTGTGAGCCACCATGTGGTTGCTGGGAATTGAACTCAGGACCTCTGAAAGAGCAAGTGCTGTTAACCTCTGAGCCATCTTTCCAGCCCAAGAAAGTATTTGTTAATATTAGATGTAACTGAAGAGGGAATTGGTAATGTGGAAGATACATCAGCAGAAAATAGCCAGTCTAAATTGAGATTCCTTCTTCCAAAATGACTCTACCTATGTCAAGCCAGCAAAAAAAAAAAAAAAAAAAAAAAAAAAAAAAAAAAAAAAAAAAAAACTAGTCAGTACATACATACATACACACACACATACTTATACATAGTGTTTCCAAATCCATATACATTATAGAATCGCTAAATTCAGCTAAATTACATATACATGTTTCACGTTTTCTGCAGTGAGAACACTTAACATCTACTTTCTTAGCAGTTTTAAAGAATATAGTACAAGTAAGGAATGGTAGTGCACACCTTTAATCCCAGTACTCCAGAGGCAAGGGTAGGTGGATCTCTGTGAGTTCAAGGCCAGCATGATTTACATAGCAAGATTCAATACTACACAGAAAGAGCTTGACTCAAAGAAGAAAAAGTAAAGAAAAAACAGCACAGTATAGTGATGTTACTAACTGAAGGCAATGTTATTCTGTAGAGTCCTTGAACACAGTCATACTCCTGTTTGTCTGAAAATTCAGACAAAAACCTTTGAGATCAGAAAGGTGAATCTAAGAAATACAAGTGTATATGTACACACAGGCACATTAATGATTTCTCTCACAATGGATTTTCTTAATCATCATATATTCATATGAGTAGTAAATTTGCCTGTGAGCATGTGGGCTCACCTATGACTGGGGTGTGTGTGTGTGTGTGTGTGTGTGTGTGTGTGTGTGTGCTTTTGTATATCTGTGGGGGGTGTGTGTGTGTGTGGGTGTGTGTGTGTGTGTAAAACAAATGTTTTTATTCTGCTTAGCAAGTTCTACCATGCCCAGCCTTTAACTTAAAAACAGATCAAATTAAGTTAGAGTTGTTCAGCAGAAAGTATTAACAGAAAGGAATAAGAGTAAATACTATTACAAAGGCAGAGAGGATAGACAGGCAGGGCTTGAAGGGATGCCTGGGCTCACAGGGTG